CCCCTTTAATTAATTCACCCCCTCTAATTAATCCAGCCCTCCCTTTAATTAATTCACCACCCCTTTAATTAATTCACCCACCTCTAATTAATCCAGCCCACCCTTTAATTAATTCACCCCCTCTAATTAATCCAGCCCACCCTTTAATTAATTCACCACCCCTTTAATTAATTCACCCCCTCTAATTAATCCAGTCCACCCTTTAATTAATTCACCCCCCTCTAATTAATTCACCCCCTCTAATTAATCCAGCCCACCCTTTAATTAATCCAGCCCACCCTTTAATTAATTCAATTAATCCCAGACATAAAATATCTAGAGGTACTCACATTTCAAAGATTCCACTGGGAGCCTCACCGCCCGGAAATGGATCCTTCCGCTGAAGATCCGTGAAGGCAGACTGACGGCGCTGCAAAATGTCGTCATCACGTTGCGCGACGCTCCTCCTACAGCAGAAGAAGGAAGTCTCGCCGCAAAGGTATGATGCCTAGGTCTTATTTTCGGGGTAGGGCTTATATTGCAGCCCACCCCGAAAATCCGACTAGGGCTTATTTTCGGGGGAGGGTTTATTTTAGGGGAAACACGGTATATATAATACATTCAGTCTTCAGGTTTTTGCTGTTGATCCAAAAGAAGGAAAGTAAACCCATGTTGAAGCACTTCCAATTTTGCCACAAGCTAGGAAAAACATTCTTTATTGAACCCAGAATGGCAGTCAAATGTATCCTTGGATCAATAAGCTATTACCTTACAGTTAAAAATACACATTTGAAATTTGTAGAAGAAGATGATAATATTGTTTGCCTATTGCATTATATACACACCACCTTATTTTTCTTTGTGTTGTTTCTTTGTATTGTCTTTTTCACAATTTGTGATGTATATTGGAGAGATCTATACATTGGCGGTGAAAAGCATTTATTATTATGTTGTTTTACATTTGACAGAAAATGACCTTTTAAGATATTTCAGAACTGAATTTATTGAAAACTCATTTAGATCTCTTTTAGAAGACCTCTGTTTTTGGGTCGATACATAATACGTTTTGTGAGGATCTATTTTTATTGTAATCTGAAACACGTGCATTGTTCTGCTTAACCCAGAAATCAAAGCATATCTATGTTTCAAGTTATTTATGAATGTTTAACATTATTGTTATAATTTATTGATCTGTCTTCATTCTGCGTGACAATATTTATCTCAGGATAAGTTATATTGACAGTTACTTGTATATTGAATAAATTGTATATAGATTTGTCAATAAAACTCACACAGTATGATGCATTCTCAATGGGGATAAATACTGTATTTAACATTAGAAGATATATATTAACAAGGCAATATACCTCTGCGATAATGTAAGAATATTCACTGTCAAGCATCTAAATAAAATCATGAAGATAAATCATGTAAGAATTGGTATTGAATATCCAAAATATTAAACTTATTTGTAGACAAATCTTTTCACGGCTCCTTGTATTTAACAGCACTGACAAAGAAATGATGACTACAATACATAATATCTTGTAATTTACTTTCCTTCACTTCCATATGCTCCCCAGAAAACCCACAATCCCTCAGAATCTTTCTATGTTCCTCTTCACTAAATTTCAAAACATGGTACTTATGTCCTCCCACAGAGTGAAAAGAACCATTAAACTTGCCAACCAATAACAGACGCCCACCTAATTTAAGCATTGATGATATTATTTTCAAATTATGGCGATAAGCATCTAAATCTTCAGAAATGTGACCCAATATAAACAAACTAAACACACAATCTGCTTTTGGTAATGCAATGGGGTCAGTTGGGTTTTCTTTAGTAAAATCACATTTCAAAATATGCTTGATGCGTCTTCTTAGATCATCTTCTCTTTCTTCCCATTTATCACTGTAAAACATAGCATTTTTTTTTTTTCTTTAATTTAAAGAAACTATTCCATGGTTGGATTTTATAGTTTCTATATGCAGTGAAATGTGTTAGTATTTGTTTCTAATACTTCTAAATTCTACTTCTGCCATACATTTTTTTTTTTATTAAAGCATGTGTTTATGTAATTGACGTCACTGTTTCCTTACATCTGGAACAATCTCTGCTAAAATGAAATTAGCATACTATATATCTGAAATTGCTGATACAGTGCTAGAACACAAACATAGCATAAAATGTCGATTGGTAAACAGAATTATAGGCAAAAATTGGAAATAGAATTGAACAAAGAATTTCCCATCGAGGTACAGCATAAAGAGATGTGTGCTATGCATGTAGTGACCATCTGTGACAATTATCTGGAGCTACACCATAAGACATTATACTGGTGGTACCTAGTGCCATAGTCACCGGCAACAATCTACAGTGAATCAGCTTCCTTCTGCTAGAGTTATCATGCTTCTGTGGGGACAATGCTTTACAAATGGTGGAGATACCCACATATTTAAGCTTAAAGACAAAAAGTTCACCATCTCATCCACACAGTGGAAAAGTTGACTTCCCTTTCCTTCCCCAAATTTGTCCTATTACTCCAATTCTACCAAAAATGTTATTTAATTTACAGGTATTGTTAATCCATATTTTGATACTGCACAAATCTGCATAGTGAGAAAGTGGAAAGCAGATTATGCATTAACAACACTATAGGATGCATTTTGTGGATGAAACTTTACGACAAAATATAATTTTTTTTTTTTTTACCAGCAATACATCTAAAAGCAAATGGTACCAATTGTTGAAAAAACTACATCAAACTCGTTATGCTAAAGTACACACAACCTTTTCTAGCATGTTGCTTTATACTGGCGTAAATGTACCATCGAACCCAATTCTCCCATTTTTGCTCTTACAGCTCTTTTTGCTCTTATCAAGTATTCATTCCAATTCCCAGACTCCGAGCCAAAACGTAGCCGAATCACAAACAAACAAAATGCCCAAATGAGAGAAGTATGCCATTTTCATTTGTGATTCTGAATTCCACCCGAAGCAGAAAAAAAAAAAAGAGCTGATTGATGGGGAAAAAAGATACTTGATGACTAGGGGACAGTTTCTACATTTTTATTTTTGTCACAGATCAAATGAGAAGTAACCAACAGAGGTAAAAACAGGAAGATCAGTGAAATGTATATGTATATATTATTATATTATATACATACTGTTCCACTTGCTTTTTCCTCTTTTGGCTGCTTTTTCTCACTTGATCTGTGATCCAAATGGCTGGAAAATATACTACTTGACATATACATAATATTTACAGTATGGATGTATTATGCAGTCTATGGATTGGACCATTTCCAAACATGTGGTTCATTTGATTCATTTCCAGAATCAGTTTTTCATTACCGTAAAAAAAAATTTGGGGAAAAAAGATGTTTAATCGGAAACACCTTTTCTCGCAGTGTACCAGTCTTGCCGATACACCAGATTTTTTTTTTTTTTTTTTACCAGATTTTATTCTTATAATGATTTTATATTTCTTAGAAATGCCATTACATTCTGAGAGATAATTCGTTCACTATGTGATCTGATATAGATTATATTTGTTTTCTATCAGAGTTATTTACTAAAGTGAGAATTCTAAGTGAATTTCAAATTTAAGGTCAGAGTATCCAAACTGAAAGCATATCTGACTTACAGAGTTCTTCTAGTTTGGTTATTTTGACTTTAAATTTGAAATTCACCTTGAATTCTCACTTTAGTGGGTAATCCTGCAAGTCTGTAATCACTTACCTGCAGCCCTCTAGTTCTGCAACAATCTTTGATGCATGAGACCAATCGAATGCACCTGGTTCTTTATTCAGCCATTTCTGCAGGTCCTTGAGACAGGCATCATTAAACTCCAATATAGTGATGTCTTTGAAATACGTACAGATTGGTAAAAGATGGAAAATACTGGCACTAGAAGAAATATCAATCAGCGTGTCCCCTTTAATATGACCTGGAGAAAAATAATCCCAATATATTAATAATTATCTAGTGAGACACAGATATAATTTTACATATCTAGCATTTTTACACCAAATTTGGAGCATGTTTTTCTTTGTTTCTTCTAGAGTTATATATTTTTTTCCAAATTCTTAAATGCCATATATTTGTTATGGGAACTGGTGAGACAACTCAGTGGATAGTGCTCCAGTTTTAATGTATCCAAATTACAGGTTTGAGCCACTGTGAGCTAATCCTAGCCATTCATCATTTGGAAGTCTAAATGGTTAGTAATAGCATCTAAATCTTAGGGTGAACGTGTAACTCAGATCTCAATTTACATTTTTATATTTCTGGTTTAGCTTTTCAAATTGTTCCATATATTTTGATACATTTATAGACTGATTTAATAATAATTATAATAATAATATATTTCAGTAAGTATCGCATTTGCCTTAAATAATATGGGATCAAACTAAACATTTCATTGGATTGCTCCATGTTTAGTACATTGCCAATCTTTCTCATGGCTTAATAAGGCCCCACAGTATCCAACAGTTAAATGGTATTTAAGTACAATATAAACTTACCCAATTTGCTGGCATTGAAAACTGCTTTCATAGGAAATATAAAAACCTCATCTAGAAGATTTTTATCCGCACTGGCACTAAAATAGGTGTCATATATATCTTGTGAATCAATCTCATGTTTATGGTAGTGTTTACGAGTGCTGCGATCCATCCTGATTTCTGCAATGATATGATAACCTAGTTTGTTGCAAAATTGGAAGCACTTCAGACTGTTTTTTTTTTTGCCTTCTTTTAGATCAACAGCAAAAACATATGCGAGGAAGGCTGAACTTGATGGACGCAAGTCTCTTTTCAGCTATGTAACTATGTAACTATATATTGGACCTCATTTAGTGGCTAATTATATATGTCTTAATATTTAATTATTTTGTAATAACAACATGTGCTCCTCTGGACATGGGACCAACAAAATGGTTTAGAAAATTAATTCATAAAGACAATTTAATTAAATATTGTTTGTAATAATTAATATCTTCATAACCCTCATTGTTGATTGATTGATTTTCCAGTAAACTTTTGTTTAGTCTAAACTGAATAAAAGGTTATTGCTTTCTGTATTTAAAAAGCCACAGAAAAAAAAAACTCCACTTGTTTGCAAGTTATACCGGAACAATCAGGTTTACTAACTAAAGTAGAAATTCAGTGAGTTTCAAATTCAACATAAAAATAGTAAAAGTGGAAGAATTCAGCTATGCTTTCAGTTTGGCAGATTCACTTTGAATCCACACTTTAGTGAATAACCATGTTTTTATTTCTATAGAATTTTAATACTCACCCAACTTCTACATTATGTGGCAATCTAATCTATTTTTTAGTTAATACATATTAAGAATATACATGTCTACTGTCAGAGGGAGGTCTCATTAACCCCTTAACGCCGTTAGGGTGTACAATGCCTCCCGACATTTAGTGAGTCTAAACGCCGTTAGGGCGGCATAGTACGCCCTAACGATCGTTAACTCCCAGGCCGCAATTTACTTACCTGGACTGGCGATTCACGATGATCCCGGTCCAGGGGGACTGCCTCAGGAGACAGACAGTCCCCATGTTTCTTTTCTGGCCCTCCAGGGCCATGTGATCACAACGGGTGTCGCAAATCACATGGCCGCAAAGCAGTTTATGAGACTACCTGTGGGGTGACTGCCTGACTGTTCAGGCAGCCCCCCTAGTGCCTAAAATTAAAAATAAAGTTAAGATCATAAGCTCCAGAAAATTGTGTGTGTTTTTCCTCCTACTCTTAAATTCACCAGTTTAAAGAGATATTACACTGTATTTGATTTCTTGTTTTCTTATTTTTATATATACCACGTAACACCTATACAGATCTGAGAGTCCTCTGAGGGCGCTGCTTCCCCACATCCCTTTTCAGAAAAAGCATGAGGTGTTTGCAATTTGAAAAGATCAAAAACACTTTATTTGCATAAACTCCTAGCATTATTTTCAGTGTTAGTTTTTATTCCTATGACTGCTAAGCATGTGATTCTATGATTGAAACTGATATATACAGCAATTTAAATTTAACAGTCATAGGAATAAAAACTAACATTGAAAATAATGCTAGGAGTTTATGCTAATAAAATGTTGTTGATCTTTACAAATTGCAAACACCTCATGCTTTTAGTTGAGCTCCATTTATAATATATATTTTTTTATCTTTATATTTGAGGGACAGATTATAACCTTCTTTTGTAATAAATGCATCTCATGTAGTAAAATATATATTTTTTCTTTACAGGTTAGGGGTTAAGCAGAAAACAATAGAAATTCAATACTCATTTTTATTCCTAGAGATTTGAACAGATTACTTGTTATTATCGGGGTTATGTATAAAAAACTGTTGCATTCGCTTTTTTGTTTGAGCCAACTTTCAATGAGTGCATCATTTCCTTGTATATAAAACTGTTACTCCATCTTGATACTTTGCAGAATGTTTTTCCACTTTTTCTGTAATGCACCAGAATAATCCATGTGTCTATCACTATTCATCTTTCAGATGTTTTGCTAGTTTCTTTTCCTTGATGAATTTATGTATAAATAACAAAAAGAATATCTATTTTTTCACCCTTCCTGGGTTGTATGTTTATTCCTCATTCTGGGGTCCTATACCAGAGGCCTGGGAGTTTGAGGGTTCTGTGCAGTATTTTAGCTCTTCCTAGAGCTGCACTTTTCTTGACAGTGATCTCGGATGTCCAACTTGGAATCTGCTGAAGCCACTTCCCCAACTTGGGAGTAACAGCACTGAGTGCTCCTATCACAACTGGGACTACTACTGTCTTCACTTTAAACATCTTTTCTAGCTCTTCTTTCAATCCCTGGTATTTATCCACCTTCTCATGTTCCTTCTTCCTGATGTTATAGTCACTGGGTACTGCCACATCTGTCACTACTGCAGTCTTACGTTCCTTGTCTACCACCACAATTTCAGGTTGGTTTGCCAGCACTTGCTTGTCTGTCTGGATCTATCACAACTGTTAGTGTGGTCCAGCACGCAGAACTATGTAACATCTACATAGAATATAGAAAGAAACAGAAAGGATAGAATGTAAACCAGTCCTTAGAATGGCCGTATTAATTCGTTAGAGACAGAGAATGATCAAGGGAAAGCCAAGGTCAAGGAAGCCAGAAATACACAAATACCTTTAAACAAGCCAAATCAGGGGAACCAGAAATCAGAGTAGTCAGGAATAGCCAAGGTCAAAATACTGGAAATCACAATAATAGCAAAGATAAATGCACTCTCGGGAACCAGGACGGGAAACTATGACAGGGCAAGGTACTGGGACTCTTCAGGGATTTATATATCCTTCTCTAGACTGCAGTTGGTCAGAGGGTGACCAGAGGGAATGGTCGGCACCACCTTTGTTTTGGGCAAACTTCCCAGAAGATCCAGAGGAGCAGTTCCCGGTTCACCACTGAGCAGGTAAGCTCAGCTTGTTTGCGTGGTCGTGCCGGTCTGTTGGGAAACGACCGGACAAGACGGGGAGCATGAACCCGGTCAGCAGGAACCCAGCTACGCTCCTCCGGGCCATATCCCTTCCAGTCAACTAGATAAGACAAAACACAGCTAGAAATCTTGGAATCCAATATAGAGCAAACTTCGTATTCTTCTTGACCACCGACCACCAAGGCGGGGGAGGAGCCACCAATTTTGTGTATCTATTACAAGGGAGAGGCTTAAGCAGAGACACATGGAATGTATTAGCATGTCAGGTTATACCTGCCGTGCTTTTCGCCGAAAGAACCCACTTCCGGGTTCACAGAGCTTCGCCCCGCCCCTTTTTTCTGACGCGGTCCTTCCACGCTACATTGGAAGACCGCGCCAGATTCAAAGGGCTGGATTATTGCACAGGTGTCTGTAAAACTTACCAGCTGCTCTATTTTGATCTTCCGTGTACCAAATAACGCTCTGGGACGACTACCCTCCTTCTCCACTCCTTGACCTCGGCTTGCTAAACAGACTTCTATCCCTCTTCACAACCATTGGATTTAATTAAGCTCTTCAGTTCCAGAACTGCCTCTTAAGCTAAGTAATTGTTCCTACAATCAAGCTACTCTCTGTTACTAATAAGAGACTGTTTCTAAGGCTCAATACTGTGTCATTCTCTCAAGTTACTCTCTGTTATAAATAAGGAACTGCTTCTAACGCTTAATTCTACTTCCAACAATCAAATTATTCCTAGCTGCAATTCTGTCTTGCCTCATTGATAATTTTGCTTGCAGTTATTCTATCACAATTAAGCTGAACCTAACTCTGCATACATTCTCTGCACTATTTCTAAATTGGGACTGTTTGGCTTGTGCAAATCTTCAGTGGCTTATTTTTTCCTTGCAATTAACATCCTGCTTGAAGGTTTAAAGCTACAGTATCATCTCCTCCACATCAGTAACAAAAAGAGGTAAAACTAATAGTTACTGGAATTAAAATTTCTGCAGTTGAGTTCCAAATAAAATAGTATTACATAGCAATTCTCATGTGCGCAGGGAGCACCAAAGAATAAGTCACAGGTTTAATACGTCGAAGGACATGAAAAGGCTCTTTGTATCGAGGAGACAGTTTCATGGAAGGAACTTTGAGCTTAATATGATGCGTGGAGAGACAGACCCTGTCTCCCATTTGATAGACAGGATTGGCACCACGCCGCTTGTGGGCCTGGACTTTAGTACGTCTAGAGGCTGTCTGTAATGCCACATGCACCGAATCTCACGTGTCACTGACAGAAGCTAAACGGGTGTCCAAAGCAGGAATATCAGTGCCCGAAAAATCAGAAGGTAATACAGTGGGGTGATAACCATTATTTACAAAAAGGGGCTATGATTGGAGGATTCATGAGTCTCATTATTCCTGGCAAATTCAGCCATGGGCAAGAGTTCAGACCAGTTTGACAGCAATAAAACAACATAAATAGGATTCTAAAGCCCTCTCCGCTGCACCATTGGTCTGAGGGTGATACGAAGAGGAAAAAGAAAGTTCTATGCCCAATTGCTTACAGAAAGCATGCCAAAACCTAGAAATAAATTAGGTACCTCTGTCGGAGACTATGTTTTCGGTACCCATGTAACCGAAAGATTTCTCTCAAGAATATTTGGACAAGATCTTGAGAAGAAGGCAATTTTTTAAGAGGTATAAAATGCATCATCTTGGAGAATCTATCCACAACCATGAGGATAGTGTTATACCCACTTGAACTGGAGAGATCTACAATGAAGTCCATGGCTAGATGGGTCCATGTAGCGTCTGGTATTGGAAGTGGCTGCAACAACCCAGGAGGAGATTTATGAGGGGCTTTAGAGACAGCACATTTTCGACATGCCCCTAAGTGCCCCAATCTTTGACATCAAGTGTTGGCCACCAAAATTTCCTAGAAATGGCAGAGAGGGTTTTATGTATTCCAGGATGTCTTGCTGTCAGATTATCATGAAATAACCCAAGTACTTTTGTCCTTAACAATGGTGCAACAAACAGTTTGTCCGGTGGTCTCTCCACAGGTGCCTGAGTTTGATCTGCTATTATGGCACATAAGAGTGGGGAAGACACTTTGGAAACCATTGTAGCAACAAGACACTCAGGAGGTACAATCAGAAATACCTCTTGTTCAGGAATCTCATCTGTCTTAAACTGTCTAGACAGCGCATCTGCGTTTGTGTTCTTGG